GAGACACTTGAAACTTAGCTCAGGAGCATTCGAGTTTCACTGGATCATCGAATGGAATATTATAGCAAAATAGCTTCAGCTAATTAAATATTACACACAAATAAACAACAGTAATAATCAAGGAAGAGTACAATGCTTCATAAAGTGTTTTTTTTCCAGGTGTGTTTGAAATATTACATCCTGTGGCATAGAAAATACTGCAGTAGTATGCAGCTTTGTTGTCACATGACCTCATTATACTGCATTTTAAGTCCAGTTATAACTATATTTTTTTATTTAACTTGAATATTAAAATGTCTGATTAAAAAAAAAAAACTGTGGTGATATAACTGTGTATCTGGAGTGGGAGTTTAAGGATATTGTTTAAGCATTGCATTGTGGAATTCTGTCCAGTATGATGCGATTTATACAGCACCCTTTTGGCATTTTTTTTTTTTTTAGGTCAACCAGGTATACAATGCATACAGAAAATGAGCATACGGCTCACAATGCACATACTGCAGAAACTGCATGAGTACCACGATGGTAGAGCTGCATAATTAATCAACATTACAATTATGGCTGTGATAAATTAATCATGAAAAGTGATGATTACAGAATTCCACTTAGATCTAAATCACATGCCAACAAATTTTTTTGGGAACAGCGGTTGAGCATTATAAACCAATCACAGACATCTGTTGTGCACATGGATGCAATGGCAAAACAATAACGCAGATCTGTAATTATTCCAGTAATTATTTTGCCTCACCTTTGTGCTTGCTTAGGTAGTCTATGCTTTTCTGCAATATTGCTGACTTGTCCATCTTGCGTGTGTTTCCGGGCAACATGGTGCCAAGTTCTTTAATGAGGACATTGAACTGGTCTCGCCTTTTCTTCTCTGACTTATTTCTGGAAACTCTGTGGTTGAAGATAATAAAAGACACAAAAACAAAGCATTACACAAGGCTGGAAAATGCTTATTCATGATAAACACATTCACTGTAAACATTAACCTTTAGACCAATAGTGGAAGCATACAAGCATAACCCGGAAAAACTGCTTTTAATCAAGTTAGCGTGATTTATGATGCATTTATGATGTTGACATTTTCTGTTTTTTTTTTATTTTTTTTTATGGTTCATGAGAAAAGTGAACAACAAAGCCATAATAAGAGAAGTTGACAAATGCGAGAACCCTGTTAAATGTGGTTTTAACATACAAATACTCACAATAATCTTCAAGTAAAACAAACATGTTTATTGTAATCTACTATTTGGGACCATTCCATCAACATAGGGCTGCACGATTATGACAAAAATCATAATTGTCGATTATTCCCTTGAAATTGTAATTGCGATTATTAATTACGATTATCACAATTTACATTGAATGATGTTTATACCTTTGCTTGATGCAACTGCATGCCGTATAACTAATGCGAAAATTAATAATTTAATTAATTTGCACAATTACAATTACGGACGCCACAATTACGTAATCGTTCAAAGCGGCAATTAATCATTCACATTCTTAAGATGTGTTTTTTATCTTTAGGGTTTTTCCATTGTTTTAATTTTAGTTTTAGTATAACATTATAATACCATGCATATTTTTACTTTATTTTTTTATTTAAAGAAATCCAATGTATAGTTCACATTTGAGGCTTAATACTATTGAAAAGCATTAAAAGTTTTTTAGATTGAGTGTTTTCAGCTTGTTTATTTTCATCTAAAAATATGGCATGCGGTTGCTTCAAACAATGGTATAAAAATCATTCAGTGAAAATTGTGATAATAGTAATTAATAATCGCAATTACAATTTCAAGGAATAATCAACAATTATGATTTTTGTCATAATCGTGCAGCCCTAAACAGAACAACAAAATCAGCAATTTAACTCACCTTTTCGCCTTATCTTTCCCCTCTTCCTCCATCAGCCCATCAAAAACACTACCATCATCCCTAAAATAGGACACACATTTATTCTCTGAGTTATGGAAAACCATTTGTATTTTCTGCAAAACAATTACATGTCTATTTAATAGAATTCTTTGTTTTTTGCATATCACTACAGAAAGAGAGAGAGAAACAGAGAAGCCATATACTTCTAAAAATAGACTAAGGCTGAAGACGAACTCCTCTGTAGTTCCTTTAAAATGTAAATGCAGAACGTTGGACACTGAAAATGCATGTGAATATAAAATTGTAATTACATTTTAATAAGGATGTTGTTGACATATGCATGCATGAAATGCTACATGAATTATATCAAACCACATTTTCTGTTGTGCTACTATATCTGAATTATTTCTGAAGTACACTACTGTTTTAAAAAGTTTGAGGTCAGTAAGATCTTTTTTTTTTTTTATAATTAATACCTTAATAATTCAGCAAGGATGCATAAAATTGATCAATGGCAGTAAAGAAATGTATAATGTTACAGAAATTAAAGATTTCTATTTCAACTTAATTGCTGAACTTTCTATTCATCAAAGAATCCTGAAAAAAGTTGCACAGTTTCCACAAAAATATTAGCAGCACAATTTTTTTTAAACATTGATCACCAATTCAGCATATTAGGATGATTTCTGAAGGATCATGTGACACTGAAGTATGGGGTAATGATGCTGAAAATTCAGCTTTGTATAACAGAAATAAATTAGTTATTTTTTTTACAGTAATATTTTACTGTATTTTTAATCACATAAACACAGCCTAGTTGAGAATAAGAGTATTCTTTCAAAACCTTTAAAATATCTTACTGGCCCCAATTTTTTGAACGATAGTGTATGTGAAGATTATTTCAGCTCTACCTGGAGCTCATGATAACGCCGTCTCATGGATCAGTCTGGGGTTAAAAAACCTGATGCATTGGGAAGACATCGGTGAAGAGGAGCTGCAACTGTGAAAGCCTGCGGACACACAAAACAGAAGATAACTGAATGACAAATTAACAGTGTTTAATATTACTTCTCTGAATCTTTTTGGTCACTGTAGCTACAGTCAGAGGTGAAAGGTAATTGATGGGCACATAGAGCTTGGGGCCACATAACCGCTAACTCAGCATAAATAGTCTACTTTACAAAACATATATAGGACATATTCAACTTTTAATACATTTTCACTTGCTGGTTCAAAAAGTCACACAGTTCTTTGCATCAAACTAATCATGGTCATTACAGAAATTAAAAGCCTCTACTGAAGTTTCAGGTCCAGTCCATATCCAGACCAGATGGTGGATCAGCACCTAGAGACGACCTCAACAGCCCTGACTGTCAGGAGACCATGTCAACTAGATGCGCCCCAGAGACAGATCCCCTGCGAAGACCTCATCACCTCGACGACCATCGGCACAAGACCACGGGAACCAGACAAGTCCTCTGCACAATCTGACCTGCGTTGCAGCCTGGAATTAAACCACATCATGCTGGTTTCATCTGGCCAGAGGAGAACTGGTCCCCAACTGAGTCTGGTTTCTCCATTTCTGTCACCGGTGGAGTTCTGGTTCCTTGCCACTGTCGCCTTTGGCTTACTGGGGACACTCAATTTCTGGCAATATTGTCAGCTTGATTGCACAGACACTATTGGAAGACGGCTGAACTTGATGATGACATCACTGAATCAACAATGAACTGACTTTAGCTGGAAAAAATGACTCTTTGATATTGTCCTCTTGCATTACTGACAAACTATTTTCCTATTTGACACTGTAAAGCTGCTTTGACACAATCTGTATTGTATAAAGCGCTATACAAATAAAGGTGACTTGACATTACGCTCGTCATTCCTGTTTAACCCATGTAAACTGCGACCACAACAGCTGTTATAATAAACATACCAGTCATTCATTTACATGAGCCTGTCAACCCTTTTAGAGACGTTGACGTTGTGAGAAAACATCCTAATTAAACCAAACATGTGTCGTAATGAAAACTGAAATGTCACGTCAGTGCATAAACGGTTACATCTAAACTTAAAGAGACAGTGCTACTTTTCAATACTTAACAACATCTTACGCTGTCACCTCTGGGTAGCAGCAGCATGTGTATCGCGGAACTACCGCCTTTATCAAAATAAACAAATTTGGTACCTACCCAAAAAAACACTCTCACACTTCCACACAGGAGCCTGAACAGATATGAGCCCCTTTGGTTCCGAGATCACGGTTCCGTGCAGTTATTCATTGGGTTGAATAAGCGGCGCAATACCGAGAAAAGCAATGCTGAATTTGAAGCACGCACTTCCTCGAGCGCTCTCGCGAATGTGGGTCAGCGGGCCTAGTGTGACACGCGAGGCGAACGGAAGCTGCTCCTGATCGCCGCAAAATCCAAACGCGTTCAGTTCATGCTCGTAACGCCATATACATAAGCAGTTAGGACTTCTTTTAGACTTTTACCTTAAAACGGCGGCCGTGCGAGTGCGATTTCGGTTTCGAACAGGATAAAAACATTTAGGCCAAGCCTACTTCACGCGAGCAGAGTCCAAGTCATGCGCAGTAGCACACACGGGCCACATCAGTTCACTTACAAAATAGTGTGCAAAAGCTAAATAGTGTTGTAAGTGGTCTGTGTTGTATGCTTAATCTTTGTGCACTTTTTGCATTATTTTTACGACATTTTATTCCAGTGGTACCTTAAATTGTAATGTTTGATGAGACTAATCACACTGTTTCCCCCCCCCAAAAAATTATATTTAATAAACTTAACTTTAAAAGGAGCCGACAAACTAGTACCCAGCTCATATTACTGGTAAACTAGGTTGTTTGCACATATTCACCATTGAAGTCTTAAACTGGTTTTATTTAAGATGTAAGTTAGACACAATATTCCAGAAATGGGGCCTGATTTTATTTTGGCCATAAACATATCTTCTATGAAAACAAATTTGTTCACTGTTTTTTTTTTTTTTACATTTCATTTAAATGCGCTGTTTGATCATTTAAGATTAAAATGTGTACAGGTGAGAACTAAACATGTTGGATTTATTTGTTTATTTGACAGTTTATTAGTTTATTTGACAGTTTATGATATGAGCTTTGTTTTTTAATACAGCATACAGATTGGTGGTATTGTTTCAATTTCACATTAAATAAAAATAAGTTACACAAATAAAATACACATCTGTTTTATTTCTAAATATTTATCATTACAGAGGGCAAAGCAGGTCCCAAGTCCCTTTAGGGTCAATGAGACTTTTATTTTGGAATAAAATGTCGTCTTTTGTTGACGTCAGTAGCCGCGACTGTGTGCGATTTTCAACCTTCGAATGTCACGTGTAAGGCTTTCTAAGAATTATCTTCTGAATCACAGTTGATTTTATCTGTTTTTATAAATTCAGAGACGATGTTGATACCATTCAGAAGGGTGTTATTTACGGCAATCCGACAACACAACTGTAGACTTTTTTCGGACTCTCATGCCACTTCCAGTACAAGAAAAGTAAGTTTCATGATTCGTATCATCAGCTAAATGTCTCTCTTTACACACATGTCATTAACAGGTCATTCGTTTTGTTTTTATTGTTATGTGTGAATGGGTTTATTCAGGGTTTAGTTCTGGGCGTGTATGAGAAACAGCCAGACAATGACAGGATACGTTTGACGGAGGCTGCGGCGGTATTTGACAGCTCGATCTCAGGAAAACTGTCAGAAATGCTGACGATGTAAGTCACTGATTTGACTTTTGCATCCTTACTGTTCTTCTCGTTTTTTCATCTATTCTTTCATTCCTTTTCTCTGTTCTATAGATCTGGACCTCCCCTGAAAAAAGGCAAAAGCAGGATCTTCTATGGTTTACATCAGGTGTGAACCCACATCTGTATGATCTTCGATGTCCTTTAGATGCTTGATGACAAGATTAATATATTAATATATCAGTCGATCCTTACCAAAGTTTTTTCTTTTTTCTTTTAAAGGACTTCCCTAGTGTAGTTGTTGTTGGTCTTGGTAAGAGCGGCACAGGTGTGTGTGGAAAAGAGAACTGGGACAACTGTAAGGAAAGCATCCGTGCAGCTGTGTCAGGTAAATGTCATTGTTGTGTTCGGCTAAATCTCACAAGGCCCTGCCAAGAACATGATGTCTAAGTAAGATTTCACCCCCAAATCAAAAGAAATTAGATTTTGCTTAAAGAAAATGAAGAATTAATGTGTTTTGAATGTTGTTTATTCTGCTCTCTATTACTGTAATGCATAATTTAATTGCAATCTTGTGGAAAGCCTTCCCAGAAGAGTGGTAGCTATTAATAGCTGCAAAGGGGGACCAACTCTATAAATGTCTGTGTATTTAGAATGCAATGTCATTAAAATCCCTGTTGGTGTAATGGTCTCAATGTTTTTTCCCCCCCTCTCATTTGTAGTAATTTTTTTTTATATATATATATGTTAGTTTTATTATTTATTAATGTTTAAACTAGTAACTAATATATATATATATATATATATATATATATATATATATATTAGGGCTGTCTGTCTACATTAATAAATAATAAAACTAACATATATATATATAAAAAAAAATTACTACAAATGAGAGGGGGGGAAAAAACATTGAGACCATTACACCAACAGGGATTTTAATGACATTGCATTCTAAATACATAATTAATCGCAAAATAAATTTGACTTTGAAAATACCCACAAAAGATTATTTAAAGCTATTTTTGTGTTAAATGAGAAAGTATCAAGTAGACATTACAAATTGTTTCTTTAGAAATAAATATTTTATTTGATTCAACGTAAAATTTATAACACATAAACATTTAGGCCACAACGGCCTAACATAAACTATGGAACATAAAAGAAGATAATTTGAGAAACATCTCAGTATTTTTTGTTCATACAATGAAAGTCATTACTAAAACAGCTTTGTTACCAACAGTCTTCAAAATACATTCTTTTATGTTCCACAAAAGAAAGGTTTGAAATGAGGGTGAGTGAATGATGACAGTATTAAATTTTTTGGGGTGAACTATCCCTTTAAATGTTGTTATTATTATTATGAAATGATACTCTAAACAAGAAACTAAATCTGCCAGCAGGTGGCGGTAAATGTCTTCATTTGATTCGTTCAAACGTCTGATTCATTCAGGAATTAAAGGGATACTCCACCCCAAAATGAAAATTTTGTCAGTAATCAACCCCCATGTCGTTCCAAACCCGTAAAAGCTTCGTTCTTTAAGATATTTTGGATGAAAACCGGGAGGCTTGTGACTGTCCCATTGACTGCCAAGTAACTTACACTGTCAAGGACCAGAAAAGTATGAAAGAACCAGAAATACATTAAGACCATTACGTTAAAATGCTATTGTTTACATTCCTCAAAATGGTCTATATGTACATTTTTAACCAGATCACAAATGTTATATATATATATATATTATATATATACATACATACATGTTATTTAATTATTAATAATTAAGAAATGGTTAAAATATAGTATATTAGTTCTGAGTAGGGGTGGAAAATTTCTGGAAACTTTCCAAGAATCCCTGGAATATTCCAAAATATCCTGGAAAATTTCAAAAATTTCTAGAATGTTTCCGAAATTTTCCACCTTTTTGCAACCCTAGTTCTGAGAAGAATTGGAATTGCAACAAAAACTAGAACGTTAAATATAAAGACACAATGTGCTTAACTGTCATGAAAAAGATATATACATAAATGGTCGTAAAATAGGCTTTGTTTTCTCTCAAAAATGTCTTATTGTGACCACAGCATTTTTTTTTCTGAGTTCAAGTAGTTTGTATTTTTCATAATACATGTGTTGGAAATTGAGAACATGTTTTAAATTGACCCTATTTCAAATCGCCCCTAACAAGTTTGCCTGTGTTTGTACAGCGGGATGCAGGCAGCTTCAGGATCTGGAGGTAGCTCATGTTGAGGTGGACCCTTGTGGAGATGGGCAGTCAGCAGCAGAGGGCGCTGTGCTCGGACTTTTTGAGTATGATGAGTTCAAAACCAAGAAGAAGGCCCGTGTCACGACCCTACCATATGGGAGGTATATAAAACACAGATGTTTAGATATTCATGAATTCCTAGGAAGTTTATTGCATGAGTTGTAATAAAGTCACACACATGCAGCACCTCACACTCATCCTAAGAATTCTGGCTCTTAATTTTCTTCTTTCCTGTTTCTTTGCAGTGTGGATTCAGCAGCATGGCAGAAAGGTGTTCTGTATGGGGACGGGCAGAACCTGGCCAGACGACTAATGGAAGCTCCAGCCAATCACATCACTCCCACAGCGTTCGCAAACACTATAGAGCAGAAACTCTCACCCTTTGCTCATAAAGTGGCTGTCCACAAGAGGTAGTCTCAGAGTTCATTAAAATCAATCACTCTATTCATTAATGATGACTCAACACATCACTTTTCTGCATTTGTTTACCTCTCGTTCTTTAAGGCCTCAGTCTTGGATTGAGAGTGAGCAAATGGGGGCTTTTCTCAGTGTGTCTAAAGGCTCAGAGGAGCCCCCTGTCTTTCTCGAGCTGCATTACAAAGGCAGTTTAGACTCTGCACAGCCCCCTCTTGTGCTGGTGGGAAAAGGAATCACCTTTGACAGGTAACTGCATCTGTATAGAACCTAAAAACATCAGTAGTTGGGAATTTGAATCTCAAATAATTTGTGTGTCTGTCTCATTCCAGTGGTGGTATCTCTCTGAAGCCGTCTTCAGGCATGGATGCCATGAGAGCAGATATGGGCGGAGCAGCCACTGTGTGTTCCGCTCTCGTGACGGCAGCCGCTCTCAAACTCCCAATCAATATCATTGGTCCGTCCACTGCACTAGACACTGTCCACTGCAACCATTCGCACACAAACTAATCTCGTGTTCCTTATTTCAGGTTTGGCACCACTCTGTGAAAACATGCCAAGTGGAAAAGCAAACAAACCGGGTGACGTTGTCCGTGCCAAAAATGGCAAAACCATTCAGGTATTCTGCACTCGCACATACAATACCGATATGCATTACTGTTTAACATTGCCTACATTATCTGGTATGGCAAAGCTGAATTTTGGAGTAAAATTAGAATTGATTTTTCAGTAATCATTCTAATATGCTGATTTGGTGCTCAAGAATTTTTTTTTATTTTTAGCAATGTTGAAAAAAAGTGTAATATGTTTGCGCAAATTGTGATACATTTTTGATACGATTAATTGAAAGTTCAAAAGAACAGTGTTTATTTAATGTCAAAATGCTTTACTTTTATCATTCTAGTGTCCTTGGTGAATAAGTAGTTAGTTTCTTTTTTTCTTTGGTAGGTTGACAACACTGATGCGGAGGGCAGATTGATTTTGGCTGATGCTCTGTGTTATGCTCACAGTTTCAAGCCCAGAGCAATAATCAATGCGGCTACGCTTACAGGTACACAAGCTGCATTGATGCTTTCAAGTAAACATAGACTCATATTAATGGTTTCTCTCTGTCTTGGTTCCTCTGGCAGGTGCCATGGATGTGGCCTTAGGTTCTGCTGCTGCAGGAGTGTTTACAAACTC